TAGCGGGCTGCGATGTGTGCGCTAGTGAGGACGCGGGGATCGCGCGTGACCGCTCGCGATGATACGCTGCCTGCTGGCGTCCGTGTCGTGCGCGGGGGGCCGGCATGATGACATGAGAATAAATAGGTAGTGTTGCAGCATGTATGATGTACTTGTCGTGGGGCTGAGACGACGGCATCGAGAGGAGCAGGGGGCGGCGCACGATACGGCGTGGAGGGGAGGGAGTGACGATGAGCGATGCAAGAAATGAAGAATGCATTTGCCTTGCTTCACAGAGTGTCGCCCTGAGAGCTGTTGAGTGGGCCCGCTGAGCGCCCGTCCTGGGCAGTCACGTCGCGCGGCGGTGAACGTCGTAGGCGAGGCAGATACGAGAGGGAGCGCGGCGCACCGGTGGAGTGTGACGCGCGGCATTCGTGACGCTCCCCTGGCCGGACATGCACTCGCTCTCGCTATCGCTGTGGACTCAGGCCGGCCAGTGGCAAGAGTCGCGCGTGCCGGCGTGTGCTCACAGCGCGCACCGAGACGCCGCCGAGTGGCGCGGTGAGTAGGATGCGAGAGCGTGTGCGCGTCGGCGGCGCACACGCTGACCGGGCGGGGCGCAGGAGTCGCTGTACGCACGTAGCGTCGAGTTGGCCCGTGCCATCGTCGAATCTCGCCCCTCGCGCGCGCGGACTGCTCTGGAGGTGAGAGCAAGGTGGACGCGCTGACCGGGGGAATGACCGAGGCGACGTCTCTGAGAAAGGCGGTTGGCGGGCACGCGAGCAGGCCGCGAGCGTCCGTGACGCTGCAGAGGGCGTCGGGAGCGAGACTCTTGACCATCCGAGAGATGCGATGGGTCGACGGCCGGGCGCGATTGCAGATGCGACGGGAGCCCGCTCAAGACAGACGGGCAGAGCCATGGACGTAGAAGTCATGGACGGGCACAGGTCAGATGAGAATATGCTAGCTTGCGTAAGGTGCGTACATGGGCAGCGGCGACGATTCGAGCGCGACGGCTTGGAAGATACAACGGATAGGCGACGTCATCGCGTCAGCGCGGTCACATAAAAGAAGGTGGTGTCGATCGATGGCGCAGTCTTGCGATACCATCGTTTATTATCCGTATACTTGGCTCAATCTCCCCATCCCCATCAAGCACGCTCTACGTATACAATCGCTCTTCATACATCGTCTGGTTCGCACCGTGCCCTGCACCCAAGAAACGCGAAGCAATCCGCCCTACGTCAAGCCCCCCTGCTTCAAGATCTCCTCGCCGTCATTTGACCCTGCATTACCGCCCGTTTTGGGCATGGAGAATCCACCGTTAAAGTCCAGACGCAACAGCAGGCGTTCCACGTGTCGGCGAACCTCGTCGTCCCCTTCGACGCGTCGTCCTCGCTTCGGTCGGAGGAATGTGTGGAAGCCAGTCGTGTTCGCCATGCTCACGCTATATAGCACCGACTTTGACGCGTCCGCAGTCGCCGAGAATGGCTGCTGTGTCGTGGACAGCGAGAGCTGCTCGTAGAATGTTCCAAGCAGCATGTGCAATGTCTAGCACGAACGTTCGTCAGCTATGTTCTCCGTGCGCTCAATATAGCCTTGTGCACATACCTCATTGACCTCTGCGACGATGACTTTTCTTTCCTTGACCATCTTGCCCACATCGCCGCCACCAGCCAGACTACCTTCGGACAAGAGCTCAGGTAGAATGTCTCCACCCCATCTCTCGGCCTGCGCGACAAATCGCTCACAAGTCTCGAGAATCATGCGAATGATGGCTGTCAGCGGAGGGTTGGACAGCAAGCTGCCTGTGATCAGACGTTCGAGGTAGGTCGTATGAATGTTACGCAGTGTGGTAAAATCGAGGCTGGTTGATCCGGCGTTCGAGGAGCTACTCTGTGACGCAGGCAGGGTAGACGCAGAATGCGAAGCCTCAATCTGTCCGTCAGCTCCCTCGCTGCCAGGCGCCGGATTAGACTGGCCGCCGGTCGCGTGCTTCACGACGTCCGACGTCTTCTCGAGCAGCATCCCCTTGAGCCTCCTGAACTCCACATCCACAACGTCTGTCATCACATATCCCAGCAGCGTGTCCAGGAACCAGCTCATCTCGCGCACGACACCCCACCCGCAGCGCAGCAGCTCCTTGCGCGCGTTCAGATCCTCCTCGGTACCGCCCTCGCCGAGCCCTGTCCAGCGCCGCCGCGCCCGCTGTGCGTTCGAGAGCGCGGTCCAGCATGTGTGGACGCGTGTGTGTGTCTTGCGCAGTGCAGAGAGGTATGCGAAGAGCGCACCGTACGCCTGC